GATAGATAGATAGATGAACAGAGAACTAGATAGATAGATAGATAGATAGATAGATAGATAGATAAGATAGATAGATAGATAGATAGATGAACAGAGAACTAGATAGATAGATAGATAGATAAGATAGATAGATAGATAGATGAACAGAGAACTAGATAGATAGATAGATAGATAGATAGATAGATAGATAGATAGATGAACAGAGAACTATATAGATAGATAGATAGATAAGATAGATAGATAGATAGATGAACAGAGAACTAGATAGATAGATAGATAAGATAGATAGATAGATAGATAGATGAACAGAGAACTAGATAGATAGATAGATAGATAGATAGATAGATAGATAGATAAGATAGATAGATAGATAGATAGATAGATAGATAGATGAACAGAGAACTAGATAGATAGATAGATAGATAGATAGATAGATAGATAGATAGATGAACAGAGAACTAGATAGATAGATAGATAGATAAGATAGATAGATAGATAGATGAACAGAGAACTAGATAGATAGATAGATAGATAGATAGATAGATGAACAGAGAACTATATAGATAGATAGATAAGATAGATAGATAGATAGATAGATGAACAGAGAACTAGATGGATGGATAGATAGATAGATAGATAGATGAACAGAGAACTAGATAGATAGATGGATGGGATAGATAGATGGATAGATAGATGAACAGAGAACTAGATAGATAGATAGATAGATAGATAGATAGATGGAGATAAGATAGATGGATGGATAGATAGATAGATAGATGAACAGAGAACTAGATAGATGGATAGATAGATAGATAGATAGATAGATAGATGAACAGAGAACTAGATAGATAGATAGATAGATAAGATAGATAGATAGATGGATGAACAGAGAACTGGATGGATAGATAGATAGATAGATAGATAGATAGATAGATAGATGAACAGAGAACTAGATAGATAGATAGATAGATAGATAGATAGATAGATAGATAGATGAACAGAGAACTAGATAGATAGATAGATAAGATAGATAGATAGATAGATAGATAGATAGATAGATAGATGAACAGAGAACTAGATAGATAGATAGATAGATAGATAGATAGATAGAAAAGATGAAACAAAAGAATTTAAAGAGCGATTTAATTTTGAGTCATTCTCTTCAGAACATTTGTGGCTTTCTGTTAAGGGGACGATTATTATAACAGGCATGGGTATATTAGCGTAACTATACATAGAACAACAATAGATAGATAGATAGATAGATAGATGAACAGAGAACTAGATAGATAGATAGATAGATAGATAGATAGATAGATAGATAGATAGATAGATAGATAGATGAACAGAGAACAAGATAGATAGATGAACAGAGAACTAGATAGATAGATAGATAGATAGATAGATAGATAGATAGATAGATAGAAAACTAGACATAGATAGATAGATAGATAGATAGATAGATAGATGTACAGAGACCTAGACGGACAGACAGACAAACAGACAGTTCGTGTGTGTGTCTTGCGTGTGTGTTTATGTGTGTGTGGATGTGTGCGCCATGAGGTTTCTGCTACGTTAGGGGTTGATTAAGTTGGAATGTCCTTGCACCTTAGTTTGATGATCTGTCGAAGGTATTTCCCCATGTGCTGAAGTTAAAGAACGGGAAATCACGACACTCGCTGGTTTACTCAGTGTCCTCAACTGGCCGGACCTTTTCCTGAACTCACCACCCACATATCCACCTTTGCGCGCGCGCGCACGCACACACACGCACACACACACACACACACTTTTTTTTTTATCACAGCAGGTGCGCAAACAGAGAATGTCACAAAACTTCACGCCATGTCCTTCAACTTGTCAATAGTATTCTTTTGCCCACTTCAGAACAAGATAAAGTGTCCAGGAGCAGCTTTGCTTTTTTTTTTTTTAATGACTGTTTAAAGTGGCTCAGTTTTAAATGAATTGGCTGCTTTTGTGTTGACTTCTGGGATCAGAAGAAAGACGATAGAAATATATCTTTTACCTTAATGATGAAGATAATTAATAATGTTAACGCAAAGACATCTTCTTTGTTCTTAAATATCATTTTGCCCGGTCAGCACGCCGATAATCACCAGGTAACAAAGTAATGGTTTTCAGGGAAATTATTGGAAAAGTTTGGACAATGAAAAATTTAGACATTATTGTAAATTTTTCCTTGGATCATTATGGTGTCTGAAACCTGGACGAGATGTAATTTAAGACTATACTGGTACCAGAAATACACGTGTATAAGTCGAGTTTTAAAACCAAGACTTGAGGTTAAGAATTGGGGTTTGGCAATTAATATGCAAGTAATGGTTTCATTAGATTTAAACCTCTGCATGATGGGAAAGACAGAGGAAGACTACTGAGTGCGGCAGAAATGTCTCCTAAGTTTTAAACTGACGCTAGTGGCAATGGTGCTTTCATCTAGCTAATGATTTATCATTTATTATATATCATCAGTTACCATCATAGTTTGGATAAGTGCACACCGTGCGTTTGCTGTTGAACCGTTTTTTTAAGGCTGGTAAATTTGTAATCGCAATACAGAGAGAAAATCGATACTACTATGGGTTGATAATTTCTGGATCAGGTTCAGCTTTTAAAAGGGAGCAACCTGGGAGACCTCGAAGCTCTCGAACTTCCGGATGATGGAAAACTTTAGAAATCGTCTATTAAAGACGTAGAAGATATTAGAAGATATTAGAAACATTTTGTACTTAGCAGCGATTTGTATTTTATAAATTGGCTTGCCGGTTCCTTTTGCACCAGGGGTGTTAAGCTTACCTCGTCCCTCGTTTTAGAAGTTAAAGAGACAAGACCGACAAGGTAGCAAGTGGTTTGAATTCAGAGGTTTTTTTTTCCTAGACTGGCGATTATATATGGAAGACGTGTGCTACACAGACTATATGCACCCCCTTCTCGGCCGTACCTAAAAGAACCAAAAGAATACAGGGCATTAAGTTTGGGGACAGCTTGGCTGCAGAAGTTGCCGGAAAGTTGTCAGCTTACCACATTCGGGGTTTACTATGGGTTTTCTGACTGCATTTACTTCCATAGTCTTTTCCGTGTTTTGGATATGACCGCAAAGCAGCGGAGGTTTAAAATCAAGATTTTCCTTCCACTAGATGCAGTGCCTTCCTGGGCTGCCAAGGTCCATCTACCCCAAAACAGCTGGTTATGAGGTGTCTGTTTCTCCTCTTCGCCCATTCTCCGTCTTGGAGCTGGACTTAGTTGTCAGGGGCTATTTGAGGTCCATGTCACAGAAGCATTTTATAGACAGTGAGATATGACAACCTTTGGAACATATATAATGTGCGTATATAAACATTTAATTACATTACGAGTTTTAGAAATTAAAAAAAAAATTAATTAAATTTTAATATATAAAAGTAAAACGTTAGTGTTGTAACCTAGGGAAGGTTACTGAATACAATAATCAAACGAAGGTTGGTAATGAACGATAATACTTAGGACAAGAACAACACATATAAGATTCGCCAGCGGCTAGTAAAAGAAGTAGTCAACTGCTAGAAGTGAGTCAAGTGAATTCCACAATGAATCTCCAACTGCAGGATATATACCAACCGCCTCATGCGGTCAGAAGTGGCACAAGGCCTAATTTAATGTGGGGTATCCGAGACCATAGGCTCAGCCAAAAATTCCCCGTAAACCCCGTATAAAAAGAGGTCGCGTAGCTGTTTCCCGAGACAAGACTCTGCCCTTCGACATAGCCTCGTCTGGGGATCCTCTCCGCCCGGAGGCAGAGAATTTGGCCAGCACAACTGGAGACTAATCTCCGACTGCAGACCAACATACAGTATTTACTATTGTATTTATGTAAATGGGAATTCTACTATGAGTTTTCTGACTGCATTTACTTCCATAGTCTTTTCCGTGTTTTGGATATGACCGCAAAGCAGCGGAGGTTTAAAATCAATATTTTCCTCCCACTAGATGCAGTGCCTTCTTGGGTCGCCTGGTGTTTAAGAACTCCACGGAAAAAGTATTTTCACATGAGTAATTAAAATTGCTAAGAAGCATGCATAATCTGTCTATATTTCTGAGGTGAGGTATTATGTACATTATTTACATTATTCGGACTATTCTCCTCATCTTTTTCGCCATATTTATCACAACGTTTCGGCCGTTGTACACTCCGGCCTTCTTCAGGTGGTTGGAAAGTCGAACTGAACCTTTTATTTCACTCACTGGGGTAGACTGTTCTAGTTCCACGTGCCATGTTTGATGGATGTCAGTTATCAGTTATCTCCTGTTAATTTCCCTTTGGACCCAAAGAGTGTGAGTTCAATACCCGGTTAAGGCAGTGGAGAACTTTCAGAGGGAAATTAACAGGAGATAACTGATAACTGACATCCATCAAACATGGCACCTTGTACAAGGTGAGTGTCAAATTTTCTAAGCCGTCTTTCCTCATTATTTACTCTAAAAATTTCAACTCTTTCTGATGTTAAGTATCAGTGTCCTTTTTGTTTCTATTTTCTCTAAAATTTCGTCGTTGATCTCATGTTCAATCAATTCTTAGCATCCTTCTGTAGAACTATATTTCTGTTATTTCAAGTTTCTTCTTCATAATGCACACACATTTGTAACCAATTAAACACACGCATGCACACACACATACACACACACAAATATATTTTTGTATTTATTTACTCTTACACACGCATATGTCTATTCAATGCTAAGTAAACACATGCATATATGACCACTCATTTCCACACACAGACGAACGCGAACACACACGCGCGTGCATTTTCACGTTTTTTCATAATTTTCTACACACAAGGTACTTGTCGACAAATTCCTGTACAAATTGTAATTTCAATACTTAATAGGTTAAGTTTGACACATGGTAAAAAATGCCGAGCACCTAGTGAGGGTCGAACTCATTACAGTATTGATGCAACTTGTCTTGCTGTTTTTTCTAATATCCCTTAATGGACTCTAATATGTTAACATACTTTCTCTCTTATTTTGATATAAACACACCAGTATATTGCGCACATGAAGAATAGCAGGTCAAACTGGGTTCTTTAGCCTGGGGTGGTATCCAGTCTAGGAAAAAGATTATTCTGAATTAAAAAAAATAACGACAACGAAAAACTACTTCGCTGTCTTCTTCAAGAAAATATAGCAATTCCCAGATAATAAAGAAATAAAAAATGTGAAGAGCCATGATCGGCTGTCCTGAAGGAATATAGCATTAACAATCTCCCCCCTCTCTCTCTTTCTGATTATCCGTCTTTCTTTTCGTATTTATCTTTATATGTCATTCTCTATGTTCACGTCTCGCTGTGTTTATATATTTGCTTGTCCCTCTCTCCCTGCTCCTCTTTATTTCTGTCTATATTTCTCTTCTTTGCCGTTTTATATCTCTTTTTTGTCTGTCTCAGTCTCCTCTGCCTCTCTTTTTCTCTTTGTATATCTCTCTGCCTCTCTTTTTCTCGTTTTTTGTTTCGCTTTGTTTCTGCCTGTCTTTCTCTGCCTCGCTTTCTTTGTAATTCTGTCGCTTTTTTTTTCTATCTGTCGTTCTCTGTCTCTGCCCATTTGTCTATATGCATCTGTATCTCTCTGTTTTTGTCTATCTCTCTATCTATGTTAGACCGTCTGTTTTCTCCCTCTTTTACTGTCCCTGTTTCTCTCTTTCTCTTTCTTTCTCTGTCTCCCACTTTGTGTCTTTTCCTTTTGTTTCTCTTTGTATCTGTCTATCAGTATCTATTTATCAATCACTCTTTATCACTCTTTATCTGCCTGTCTCTTTCTATGTTTATCTCTCTTTTTGTATCTGTCCTTTTCTGTCTCTGTTTCTACCTATATCTATCTTTATATACCCAGTTTTCTCTCTATATATGCATCTGTCTAGCTCGCTCTATACCCGTCTCTGTCTCTCTCAGTGTCTATCTCTGTTTCTCTTCTTTCGCCGTTTGCATCGTTTTGTTTCTGTCTCTCTATCGTTATCTCTTCTCCCTTCTACAATTCTATCTTTCAGTTCGTCTCTTTCTCTCTCTCTCTCTCTGTTCCTGTCTGCATGTTTGTCTTATCTGTTTATTTATCTATTTCTTTCTGTCTCTCTGTCTTTCTCAGTTCTGTATCGAAGCTCAAGTTTTGAAAAGACCATGTTTTCCATTCATAGAGATGTCTTTTGAAATTCACAGAGTGATTCCATTCTTTTTTTTTTTTAAAAAAAGAAAAGAAAAAAAAGGCGCTTTCTGACTGGTTAATTTTTTAAATGGCGATTTTCTAAGCATAGCTTAGATGTGGCACAAGGTCGAAAAAATGGGCAGCCTAGTGAGGATTGAACTCACTGCTAAGTCGTAATTGATCTAGCAAGACAAGCTTGCTAACCCTTACACCACCTCGAAGTGCCCTGGTCAATGTTTTAAATGTCTTCCCCCCAAGATGTCAAGTCTAAATCATTTTATTGCTTAACTTATCGTTTTCGAAAATTTTGTTCAGTCTGATAATTTTAAACAGATGGCTAGAGACTATGCTCCACGCTTGGTGTCCAGAGGCACATAAGGCCCCTTAGTGAGGTTTCTGAAATCGATTGTTCCACAGGTTGGGGTGATAGGCCCCATGCCCAACCTCTGTACTCTGAGTAAGCGTTGGTTTTCTGTCGTGGTTTTTCTTCCCTTAGAGGACCACGTACACCCGCCGTAATGAGTTTCCTCTATCCGAGTTTGAGAATTCCGAGTTTTCCTTCACCTAGACTGGTTGACAACCAAAGCTAAAGAGCCTAGTTTGCCCCACTGTGAAGGAGAAAAGATGAATTCATACATTTCCGAAGATTATTTGCGCAAAAGTGTAACGAATTCGGCTGGCATTCGAACTCGCCGATTTCTCATTCTGAGCCTCTAACCATTACACCATTCATTATTCATTATGCCTCTTGATTCCTTGGGAAACATAGGGCCGCAACAACACCTCTCCAAAGGACGTGGTTCCGAGCGATCCTCTTCAGCTCGGACCATGTTGTGCCGGCTGCCTTCAACTTCTGCGCCAAGTCTGTTTTGGTCGAATTAATTTTCGCTTCCTTTGTAGATTCCAGTCAAGGGCCTGCCTGGTGACACTAGAAGCAGCTTTTGCGGAGTGTGTGGCCGATCCATCCCCATTTCCGATTGGGCCTTGTTTGGTCCTGTCCCGCAGTTAGTCGTTGGAGATGACTTCCGGCCACCTGATATTGAGGATTCATGATAGCGATTTATACTAAGTAGAGATTGCGAATTTTACAAATGTAATGACTGTTTAAATATTAAATGGAAAAGGCCTGTGTTCGAACACGGGCAATAACCAGTATTTCGAATGCTAATTTTACAAATGTAATGACTGGTTAAATATTAAATGGGAAAGGGCTGTGTTCGAACACGGGAAAAAGCCAGTATTTTGAATGCTAATTCTACAAATGTAATGACTGGTTAAATATTAAATGAGAAAGGGCTGTGCTCGAACACGGGCAATAGCCTGTATTTTGAATGCTAATTTTACAAATGTAATAACTGCTTAAATATTAAATGGGAAAGGGCTGTGTTCGAACACGGGCAAAAGCCAGTATTTCGAATGCTAATTTTACAGTTAATCTATTTCAATTTCCGCCTATTTAGTTCTCTAAACTATTATCTTACCTTTCAAAAAAGGAATTTTCTCGTCAAAGCGCAATCTTGCACATTTACAAATCTACCATTCACCTGTGCATTGAATACTGCTGCCATATCTAGTCTGGTGCTCCTGCTATTCATCTCGAGGTTCTTAACAAAATCCAAAGAAGCTTCTGTAATATAATCGATCCTGACTTCAATCACTTTTTCACTGATCTAACGTAGCTTCTCTCTGTCTTTTCTACAAATATTTTAATGGCAACTACTTTTTGTCCTGGTGCCCCGACTACATGAATTTAAGCGAGCTACTAGATTGGCATCTAGCTTCCACCCTTTTACTATTGAAATAGTTAAATGCAATCGCCACTTCTACTTCAACATTTTCTTTTCTCGCATTTCCTGCCTGTGGAACTCCCTTCCGTTTACTTGCTTCCCTGATAACTGCATTGTTCAAAAATTTAAATGCAACGTCAATCGCTATCTTCTATCTTCTTGAATCCTTTTCATCTTATGTACTTTCCTTAATTCTCCCTATACACAGTCTTTTCTCTCACTTTCAGTTTCTGTAATCCTCTGCATACTAGTGGCACTCCCGCTTTGCTTGAGATGAAATGATAAAAGAATCAAAACAAACAAACAAACCAAAACAACTGATACTGAAAGAGTTTTGGAATGGTGTCTGCGAGGTTTGATACCCTTTTTCCGAATTCTATATAAGTGAAATTTATCAATGAAAACTTAAACAGAAGAAACAAAATCGGTTTCAAGTCAAAAGATTCCTTTTGCAGAACCATGGAATGAAGTATTTCCAAACGTATTCTTTTACCATTTCTCCGTTTCTAATTCTATTCATCGCCACAACAGTAATCAACATCACCCTGTTGTCCCTGTCTCCTTAACAGATCTTTCCATCATCGTCATTTCATTTCTAATTTATCCTGCTCATTATCCTACCATCGCCATCCGGAAGATTGCAACTAATCTCCTTATGGTCAACACCGCTGTCATCACTAAATCAACCACCCGCACCCTGTCATCCAACCACCACCATTCTTATGCGCTGTTGTTTGCAATAAGTGTTACAAAGGATGGTTGCCACCTCGTTGTTGATCACGACTATCATAAGATATTGTAAGACTTAGAGTTACGTCCTGGGCATGACGATAAACTACATCCGGCAGCATAGTCTTTGATCGGGAGGTTTTGAGGAGCGTGGGACCACCTCTTAATTGCTGTTGTTCCCAGGTCCACCCTGAACCAGGGTGGTAGCATCCGTTAGGACCCTAGCTATGGGAAAATAGTGAACCCTCAAACTGGGTCAAAACACTATGAAAGTATAAAAATACCAGTAATACATTTTTATAGTAAAAAAAAAAATTGTAAAGAAAATTACTAATGAATTCAAGAAAATTAAATTTCAGCACTAAATGAACCATAAGGAGTTAATTTGCCACTAAACAAACAAACAAACAAACAAGCGAAAACTTAGAATTACGATTTAAAAAGAGATACAGCTTTTAAAAGTGATCTTTGCGGCTCTGCATAGAAGTAGTACATTTGATGTCTGGTACGCTGTGCCTTCGACTGGACTGGCATCCCTGGTCCTCAACCATCTCCTAAATCTCTCACGTGCAGGCTCCAAGTTGCCATGCACCGGTAAACCGTTTCAGTTGGAGGGGCTAAACACACGTGAGAGGGTGGAGCTAACGACATCACTGGGCGAACGACCTCCTCGACGCAGGTCACCTATAAGGGCGGAAATGGTTTCCCAGATGAACCACAACAGCCACGTTTTCGCGAACTAGGCGAGACATCAAAGCTCTGGAACACAACTGACAGATGAAGGAGAATCGTGAACAGCTCAAAGAATCCTTTCGTAGTTAAGGGCGAAAGTAGAAGAAAAAGCTGGACAAGCCTTCGTTTGCTTTGATTAACTTTTTCGGATACGGCCAGTCATTAAGAATGCAAAAAGAGCTTACCATATCAAGCAATGTCTGTTTATTATTATTTTTTAAATTGGAGACTAATGTCACACTGCGGCAATCCCATTCTTTACGCAAGAACAACATGTACACAAGAAAAGAAACAGTCAACATCGTTGGTTGCTGTATTCTCGTAGGTGTCATATCATAGTTTTCCATCTTCTAGTTGGATACCATAATGAATGCAGAGGGGTCCAACACTATCAGTGGGCTTACCACGGGCATAGGCACTAAGATATCGTTGTATGGTGTCTTGTCGCAAGTGTTACATCGGTGTTTTCCGTCTTCTAGTTGGATATCCTAATGAAGGCTAAGGAGTCCAACACTCACTGTGAGCTTATGACGAGTCGTGACATCAAACTAGTTATTTATACATCTGAACATATTTTACATCCGTGGCTTTTTCTTCTTTATGTGTCGCGATCATGGCTCTTCACAATTTCTTGTACTTTGTAGCACTTAATAAATTTTGTGTTTTTTGTTATTTCTCCTAAATCCTGTTCAGCAATTCATTTACTTAAACTTTCAACGTCAATATCAATCGTTAAATTATCTTTGTCTTTCTTTTTCTTTTTATCTATTTTTCTTTCTTGCTTTCTTTCAATGTTATGATCTGTTTTCCTCTGTCCCTCTTGCCTTCTGTTGTAGAGTAGTTTCACAGTGGAGGCTTGTATTTCACTAAGTCGGTCCTAAAATAGGTTCGACGTACAAAACGTTAGGAACTTGATATAATAGGTAATGACGCAGAGAAATCTAGTGGTGGTCGCTGATACTTTAATATCCGACTAACGGTCGTCCGACATCGACTGACTGACCAACTCACTGAGCGAATGGCGACTGCTACTACTCCTACTTATTATAGGTGGGAGAGTCTATTAACAATAGAATAGGTGTGTTCCACTATAACACCTTCAATCTGTCCTGTGAGTATCAAATTTTCCAAGCCTTCCTTCTTCATTATGTGGCCCAGAAATGTCAATTGTCTCTTTCATTTCGTTTCCATTTTCTCTAAAACCTCGTCGTTACACACATCTGTCCATGGTTTCCTCAGCATCTTTCTGTAGAATCAGATTTCTGTTGCTTTAAGTCTCTTTTTCATCTTTGATGTGCCTAATTGTCATAAATATTTTATTTTACATTCGCGCCTAATTGATATAAATGCCATACACAGACCACAGATCAGCAACCATGCCTTTTATAAACACTGTCATCGCTAGACCTAATATAACCGCTAAACCACAATCAATCGGATAGTTATTAAAAAAAGAAGAAAAAAAATGCTTGCTTGGAGTTAGTGCCCGACAGGCTGCAGCTTTTCTCTGTGTATGGCTGTAAATATTTCCTGCATAATATGCTTCTGGGTGAGGAAACGTACCGGGAGTAGGAAGAGCTTTTCTCTGCCTCTGCCCAAGGGTAAAATTATCAAATCCATCCTCTCCTATGATGAGGTCCGCATTTATCAGCGAGCAGACTTTTTATTTTATGTCGCCGTGGCTCTGATCCCGATAAAACTCTTCAAGTCGGATTATAATTCCTTCGTCTTGGCCAGTTGGTCGGCCCGGAGTGGCGGCACAAATAGCCCAACGACTTCAAGCCCCACACTAATTAAGTAGCGCTTTACAGACCAGCCCTGTTCGGTCATTGCTCCATTTTAATGTTGATGAAGGTCATCATAGGCGGTCGCAACGTCGTGGCCCGGATGATAAACTCGCAAAGAACTGATGACAGTTCTATTGTTGATGGTGTTATTGAGCGAAAGATTCTTGCTGGCGTCTTGGAGAAATATAGCAACAACTTCGGAAATGGGCAATTTTTATATCGGACCTTCATCGTCGGCTGATGAAAAGACATTCACACAACTCTCTTGTCCATTGATTTACGGCTTCTGTTTACCAGAGGAGTGAAGTGAGCGAGTGGTGTGTGTGTGAAGGGGCAGGGGTCAAGGGTTAGACACATCAACCGTTTGATTAAAGTCGCAATGCCTAAGACAAAAGTTATTTTATTTCCTACTGTAGCTCGTGATTGTATTTGAGGCGGTTTCTTTCGATATGCCGACTGACGTAGGAGCAAGAACTGCTGGCACTCTTTTGACTTTTGCTTTTTTTCTCATTTAGGAAAGGAAAAATGACGTTAAGGAAAGAAAGAAGAGAGAGAGAGAGAGAGAGGAGGGATAGAAGGAAAGAATGGACAAAAATAGAAAACAGGAAGGAATTAAAGAAGAAATTAAGGAAGTAAGGAATGTATGAAGGAAGGAGAGAAGAAAGTAAGGAAAGATTGAAGGAAGGAAGGAAGGAAGGAAGGAAAGAAGGAAAATAGAAAACAGGAAGGGATAAAGGAAAGGAGATATCAAGGAAAGAAGGAATGCAAGAACAAATAAAAGAAAGGAAGAAAGAAAGAATGAAAAATAGAAAGAGATAAAGAAGGAAAAATATATTACGAAAGGAAAGAAGGAAGAAAAGAAAGGAAGAAAGACAAAGATAATTTAAGGATTGATATAGACATTGAAAGATAGAAAGCGAGAAAGATAGATAGATAGATAGATAGATAGATAGATAGATAGATAGATAGATAGAAAGAAAGAAAGAAAGACAGACATAATTTAAGGATCGATATAGACGTTGAAAGAAAGAAAGAAAGAAAGAAAGAAAGAAAGAAAAATAGATAAAAAGAAAGAAAGACAAAGATAATTTACGAATTGATATAGACATTGAAAGAAAGAAAGAAAGAAAACTAGATAAAAAGAAAGAAAGAAAACTAGATAAAAAGAAAGACAAAGATTATTTAAGGATTGATATTGACGTTGAAAGGAAGGAAGGAAAGAAAGATTTAAAATGAAATCGGGATGAACGCCAAATCACTGACATTGTTATGACTGAAGGTAGATCAAATCTGTTGTCATAAGTTTTTCATTTCTTTCCATATTTACAGTTTGTGTCTGTCACCCTAAGAAAGAAATCCGTGGCAAGCAAATTTATAGCCTTGTCTTTTCTGTCCACCGTATGTGTATTGGATAGCAAACTGTTCTCTACCCATTAACGCTTTGCTGTCTTGCTTTATTTTTTATGTGAATTGTTGAGCCTTTCGGTCAGTGTTCGAGTTAGGCTAAATGATTCTGACGAGTGTCTTCAGTTCTGTTAATTTGCTCACCACGTTTAAAACGCTAATTCTTGTAATAAAAAAAGTTCAATCGAACATAACTTATGAAGTTTTATTCAGCTTTAAAATTGTTAGCTGGAAAATGCACCGAAATTAAAGTAGCCATTTTACAGCTTAGACAGATCTCCTCTTAGGCGAGATAACAGAGGTAAATACCCAACAGAGGGATAACCTTGTGGATCATCACTCCACGTCTTCGCTGCTATCAACGTTTTTTTTTTTTAAATCAATTCACCCCAAGCAAGGCGATAATGCAAGGAGGCTACTGTGAGTGAAAGATTGATGCGTTTTTTACGGCTTATCAACCCGTTGTAGTTTATTTAAAGCCAGAAAATATTTTTAGATTGTAAGAATATATTTGAACGATAATAATGGTTTACAAGTCTTACTAATTTCTTCTTTTAATTTATTCTGCTTAATCAATAGATAGATTGATTGATTCGTTTTTTACGGCTTATCAACCCTTTGCAGGTTGTTTAAAGCCAGAAAATATTTTTTTAGATTGTAAGAAGATATTTTGGTGATAATAATGGTTTACAAGTCTTACTAATTTCTTCTTTTAATTTATTCTGCTTAATCAATAGATTGATTTATTGATTCGTTTTTTACGGCTTATCAACCCTTTGCAGGATATTTAAAGCCAGAAAATATTTTTTAGATTGTAAGAAGATATTTTGGTGATAATAATGGTTTTCAAGTCTTATTAATTTCTTCTTTTAATTTCTTCTGCTTAATCAGTAGATTGATTTATTGATTCGTCTTTTGCGGTTTATCAACCCTTTGCAGGTTATTTGAAACCAGAAAATATTTTTAGATTGTAAGAATTTTTTTAAAGATAATAATTGGCTTTAGCGATACAAGTCTTACTAATTAACACATAGCTGGGGAGAGAAGAGGTGGATTGATACCTTTTAAAGTAAATATAACAAAGCTAACGAGAATTGGAATTCGGCTCTCCGATTAAAAATTCTGAGCCATTATCCATTACACCACACGCGTATCGAAGCTTACAGCACTTGGTATTCTCAAGCGATCACAAATCTAGGTGCTGACCAGGCTCGACGTTGCTTAACTTCGGTTCGGTGATCGTACGGGGACCGATGTTTCAACGTGATGTGGCCGTAAGCCATCAATAACTGGGTGCTCTATGAAGACTTCTTTGTATGATAATATATATAATATATATATATATATATATATATATATATATATATATATATATATATATATATACTTATTTTAGTGGATACTCGTATTTGAGTAGACGCACCGTTTATTTATTGAGGAGTATATTTATTTATTTTCGTCTTGCCTTGAAAAATCTACATTGGACGAATACAGTTTTCCTATTGTCTTTTACCTTTATACATATTGTCGTTTTCTACAGGTTAACTTTGATATAATTTTTATATATATATATATATATATATATATATATATATATATATATATATATATATTATGTGTATCTTATATTTTATATCATAAAAAATAATTTATACAAAAGAATTAAATAGCAATATTGAATATATGTAAAATCACATTAACATTGCAATTTAATTTTTGTTTAAATTGTTTGTTTATTTATATATATATATATATATATATATATATATATATATATATATATGTGTGTGTGTGTGTGTGTGTGTGTGTGTTTACTATAAACGTTATTTTTAGTTCCTATCCCTGTTTTATTTTATTGAAATCAGTGACAGCAGGCCTAAATCGAGAAGCTCATTAAAGAAAAACTGTGCCTCCGATAGGAATCGAACTTGTATCCCTTTTTGAAAAAAATAATCAGGGATATAATAATAATTAATATAGGATAAATATATATATATATATATATATATATATATATTTGATGTCAAACCTACCACCTGGAACCCCACCGGTCTCTCATTGTATTCAATTTTGTCTCATTTTATTTTTCAGACTATTTTTAATCTCTGTTTTCTTATATGCAACGTCTCTGCCTAAACTATTTAGTGTTTAGTTTTTTCCCAATAGGAGTAGATAGATTCGCCTATCTTCCGTTTTACACTCTCACTCGGTCATTCGAACAGGAGTAGAGATTTATCCCTGTTTAGGATTAGGTTTCCAGTTCCTCCTAAAATCTTTTCTTTCTCTTTTACTCCTAGCACTCCTTTGTACCTTAGTAGCATTATCGCCTTGCTTGTGGTGAATTGATATATATATATATATATATATAT